CCCCAAAACCCCAAAACCCCAAAACCCCAAAACCCCAAAACCCCAAAACCCCTAGTTATAGTTAATTAAATGAAGGTGAATTATTATTCAGGTTTAATAAAATAAGGTTAAAAGGATGATCAAGAAGATTTCTTATGCCTCAGGGACATCCAAAATCAACACAGTCCCTGATTCCAGTAATGGAATCAATAACTATCTTAATTCTAATCCTGGCTGCTCAGAAGTAGATGAGAACCAAAGCCTTGTTTCCTCTTTATTTGAAACTTTTAAGACTGTTAGTGAGGATCAGCTAGACCCTGAGTACAGTATAGAACCGTGTAGTATTCTTATGTGTCAAAAAGTGCTGGATGGTTTTGAAGAGATTGAAGTCTCAGATCTGGAAAATTCTGGCGATTATTTGTCAAAAATCTCTCCTCAAGAATTCTCTATTAAAAAGGAATATTTGTATCACACTAATATCAAAAATTTTAAGCTTGAACAATCGCTTGTGGATGATAGTGACGATACTCTTAATTTTGAAGACTCAGAAAGGTCTCTTGATGACGAAAGTATCGGACTATGGACAAAGAGCGATACCTGTCAATTGAAAAGGGATTATTACTCCCTTTCAAAGTGCAAATCTGAAGGATTACTTCCTCTTCTTCCCATGATTGATGAAGATTTGTTCTATATTAATGAGCTGAAAGTTTGGGGTCAAGAAAAGCCTCCGGAAGATTCTCTGACAGAGCAGCAGAAAGCTGTTAGAGGGAAGAATAGAGGAGAAGTTCCTTTAACTTTTTAAGCGCAGCTTTTGCATCAACTTCACATTACATGGACGTAAAAGACGTTGCAGACTTACAAAGCTGTGCATCATTTGTTTTATTGAATAAATATTTGTCACGATTTAAACCTGCTTGGAGGAGGACTTTAAGTTGATAATTTGTGATTAAGACCTAACTTGTACATTCCATAACAGTTACCAGAATAGTCAATGCTTCATTTGGCTGTGGATGAGATAGGATATTCACTTTTGGGTAAAAATCCTATTTATCATTTAGCAGCCAAGTTAAGGAGGGTTTCAAAATTTAAATTTAGTCCTGAATGCATTGTTGATTACAAGTCCAACAATCTTTTTACCAATTTGTATTTAATTGGATAAAGTTTGCAGATTTTAAGCAAATCAGATTCTTCGCACTTAAACAGCTCATGCTTACAGTTGATAGTTCTCCCTCAACAGCATTTTCAGAGTATGTTGAAATGATTACATTTTTATAAGAAAATGACAGTTCCTTCTGAAATTTGGCTTAGCTGGCTAAATCTGTTGAAGAAATAAGAATTTGGTTGCCAGCTCAGCAATATTTTCATAAATAAATATTGATGTGCAGTCATCTTCTTTTCTCTATTTGATTTTGTACTTCTTTTCCAGTCGGCCTTGTCTGAGTTGTGCCGATTTGCCTTTGGCCAGAGTCACTGTGAAGAAGCGATGACGTAAATTCTCAATATTAGACCAAAGAATTAGAAATTTTTAATGAGATAGTAAAAGATATAATTTTGATAGTAGGAGTTGGTCACGGGAAATTTTAAGTCAACCTATTCGAATTAAAGTCAATAAGTTGTGGTAGAACTGCTTTAGATGAAGCGAAGCTATTGCTGTAAGAAATTCCTTGTCCACTAAAATAAGATTCAAGAGATTTTCTGTTATAATACTGTTCTGTTAAGTTAATTCGTCGATAAAGAGATATAAATTAGAGCAGTGATAGTTGTCTTTATCAGAGCAGAATTATGATCATTATTATCAAGATAAAATATATCTGCATTAGCACCGCTAGTCATTTCTTATAAGCATTTTCTGATAATTCTGTATCAACTGAAATCAAATTTCAAGAGTGTTTCTTAAAGCATGCTATATTTGAAAATAATTTTTAGAGGAAGTTTCAATTAGACTTTGTTAATAAGGGGTTTTGGGGTTTTGGGGTTTTGGGGTTTTGGGGTTTTGGGG